GGGATTCTTGCCCACAATAGTAGACATGATAATCATCTGAGTTGAAATCACCCATTCCCATCCATTTTAGTTCACTGATGCCCAGAATGTCGATGTTTATTCTTGCCATCTCCTGTTTGACCACCTCCAGCTTCCCAAGGTTCATAGATCTTACATTCCAAGTTCCTACGCAGTATTTTTCTTTGCAGAATCGGACTTTCCTTTCACTTCCAGCATCCTTTCGGCTTTGGCCCAACCACTTCATTAGCTCTGGAGCTACTTGTCCTTGTCCTCTGCTCTTCCTCAGTAGCATGTTGGACACCTTCCGATCAGAGGGGCTCATCTTCCAGCATCATATCTTTTAGCCTTTTGTTTCTGTCCATGGAGTTTTCTTGGCAAAGATACTGGAGTGGTTTTGCCAGTTCCTGCTCCAGACGGATCGCGTTTATTCAGAACTCTCCACTACGACCTGTCCGTCTTGGGTGTCCCTGCACTGTATAGCCCATAGCTTCTCTGAATTACTCAAGCTCCTTCTCTGAATTACTCAAGCCCTTTCGCCAGGACAAGGCAGCAATCCATGAAGGGGCCACAACCATCTGCATTTATTCAAATTGAGACATGTCATCTTCTTCTGGTTGCTGCACAACGGTGGAGGATGGGGTTTCACTTAACTGGGGCTTATTTTTGGAGTAGGACTTATATTACGAGCATCCTGAAAAATCATACTAGGGCTTATTTTCAGGTTATTTTCGGGGAAACAGGGTAGCACAGGATGGTGGTGACTATTTGGAGACAACCAGCTCACCAAATCTTAATGGGCTTCTACTCCGAACTGTCTGCCCCAGGTGTGGATGCTGTCATTCTACTAGGAAATAAAATGTGTGATCCTTGTACACCAGGTTTCCACTGAGAACACCTGGGATTTTGGAAACCAGATGCAAGCAGACCCCATATCTTACTTCTGTTAATGATACAGGAGATTAAAAAAATGAAAAGACACAGGGTGGTGGTGAAAATAGGAGCTACAGAGCTTTATAGCAGCCTCTTCATGACTCTTGGAACTGGCAATACACTGGGTGGATTGTGCAATTTAGTATTTCCATACTCATTTCCTCCCGTGCCTGCCTCTCCTCCACACCGCTCCTTCTCCTGATCATGACTCTGGGAGGTCGTTTGGGCTGGGATCTCATTAAAGACCAGAACCTGGATCTCCTTCCCCAGTGTCGCTTTCTAACCTCCACACCCTGCTGTTCCCGGATAAAACTACTTCCACCGTTATAAAGCACAGATGGGAAGTTAAATTGTTAATGAGTTCCACCGGAGAATTTCCTGAAGACTTGTCCCATTCTCTGGGTAGCCCCCCCCCCCGATTTCTCTGCCAACGAATAGGGTGGGGGATTTTAACAGGCCAGTTGAGCAGGACTCTAAGTTAAAACGGAAGGGGAGAAGGGCTGACACTACAAGTCGAACCTCTCATCAGTCTTTTGCTTGTTATTTTTGTGTGTGTGATTTCCGCACAGAAATCCGCAGCTCGTCCCGACACCTAAGCCTCACTTTTGCTGAACACGAAAATACAGTAAAAGCAAACAAACGAGACAGCCTTGGGCAGTGCAAATTACTGTCTGAAGACCTCTGATTTCAAACTATGCGTCACGAGAATAAAATGGCTTTCGTCCCCGTTTGGGTGAGGCTGTTTTCCTAAAAGCAGCGATTACCCCCGGGCACTGTTTCTTTAAGAGGCGGCGCGGAAGAAACCTGCCCAAAAAGACCGGATATCCGAGCAAAGCCGGTTTTCCCAGCGAGACGAAGGAGCTGTTTACGGAGGAAAGTTAGGAATCGCTGCCTGGCGTTTTGGGAGGCTTTTGTGGCGCGATGGAGCTGCTGATCCCCTTCCTCCAGAGGTGCGTCCAGCTCCTCGCCCTTCCCATCTATGTGCTGACCTTCCTTGGCTGGTGGGACTCTATCTGTAAAAAGATCTTCCCCTTTTGGATGAAGAGGATGGCCAAATCCTACAACGAGAAACTCCACCGGGAGAAGCAGCAGCTCTTCAGCCACTTGGCGGACTTTGCGGGTTCGTCCGGCCAGGTCTCCCTCTTAGAAATCGGCGCGGGGACCGGAGCCAACTTCTCGTTTTACCCGCCGGGCTGCCGGGTGACTTGCACGGACCCCAACCCCAACTTCCAGCAGTATCTGCTGAGCAGCATCGCCGAGAATCGGCACCTCCAGTTCGAAGGCTTCGTGGTGGCTGCCGCCGAGGACCTGCGGCCGGTGCCGGACTCCTCCGTGGACGTGGTGGTGGGCACGCTGGTCCTCTGCTCCGTGGCCGACGTGGCCGCCGTCCTGAAGGAAGTCCTCCGGGTGCTCAGGCCGGTGAGGAAGAGGGGGAGAGAGGGAAGCCAGAAGGGCGCCAGCAAGGGCTATTGGGTCGGGCTGCTCTTACCCCCTAACGTGGGTGGACAGGAGAGGGAGGGGGAGGGGGAGATAGAGGACAGTCCTATGTCCCCCGCCCCCCTCGTCCTAAATTTGCTTTTTCTTTGAGGGGGAGGGGGAGATAGAGGACAGTCCTGTGTCCCCCGCCCTCCCTCGTCCTAAATTTTCTTTTTCTTTAAGTGGCCAAAAAGACAGCCAGATAAAACAGCTTGTAAGCATCAGTAGTGTCTCCTGTCTCTCTCCCCCCCCCATTATTTCTGCAGCTATTCCTGTCCTCTGGTCTTTGAACTCCATCATCTCTTTCCATGGCTGAGTGAGGATAATAGATATTGTAGGCCAACACAGCTGGAGAAGCAAAGGATATACTTACTCTCACTGCCATCCCCCCCCTCATGAAAGTGCCACATAACTTTTAAAGGAAAAAACACACCATACATTTTGTTTGTTTTTGTGCAAAGTTGAAGTACTAGGCTTTCATTACCACAATCACTGTATAGTTACAACCCTGCTGTGAGGTAGGTCAGGCTGGGAAGGAATGATGGGCCCATTTTGTTGTGTGGCTTGGAGGGGATTAGGAGCTAGATTTCCCAAGTCACTGCCCAGTACTGGTAACTCCACACTGCTTCACTGGTCCCCTGAAATACCGGGACAAGAGGGGAAGTCAGTTAAAATGTTTGGTTGATTTGTCAACGTGGGGAGAGATGCAATTTCCAATGTATGTAATAGATTCAGAGCAGAACAGCAAAGGGTTAAACGTGCCTGTCACTGCCCACTACAAACAAGACAACAACAAACAAACTTTAAAGGGTTATTAGCTCAGTGAATTAGGCACCTGGGCATAGAACCAGTGGTTTGGAGTTCAGTTTCTCACTGTACTTCCTAGGAGAGACACACGGAAAGAGACCTTTTGTAGCCTAGGGCAAGCTGCACAGCTCCACGGCACCCCAATAGGAAGGAGCAGTAAACTACGTCTGACGCTGCGGGCTAAACCGCAGAAGCCTGTGCTGCAGGGTCAGAAGACCAGCAGTTGTAAGATCGAATCCACGCGACGGAGTGATCTTCCGTCGCTTTGTCCCAGCTCCTCACCAACCTAGCGGTTCAAAAGCATGCAAATGCAAGTAGATAAATAGGTACCACCTCGGTGGGAAGGTAAAATGGCGTTCCCTAGTCATGCTGGCCACATGGCAACGGAAACTGTTTTTGGACAAGTGCTGACTCTACGGCTTCAAAACGGGATGAGCACCACCCCCAGAGTCGGACACGACTGGACTAAAATGTCAAGGGGAACCTTTACCTTTTTGTTCTCTATCTAGAAGACCCTTTAAATTGGATTTGACTTGGCATTGCGTAATTAATTACTGTATAGGTAAATTCACAGAGAGGACTGTCATTGGTTAGATTCCATTGGATGGGGAAAATGAATGGGGTACATGTGCTATTATTACCATCATGTCCTGCCCATGGACTCCTCACTGTCATCTGGTTGGCCATTGTGGGAAACAGTGCAGCTTTGATTAGGCCTTTGGTCTCATCCAGCAGGGCTCTTCTTAGGACCATGGGTTTGCGGTTGATCTGAATGGCCTTTCAGGGTTTGCTTCTAACTGCGGAGTGATCGAGAATTTTAATAAGAAGCTTCTAATGTTTGTGGGAGGGCAATGTGAAGACCCCAATGTCATTTTTGGAGGATCCTACCTCACCCACAGCTCCAATTTTAAACAAAATGTTTTGGAGAAAAATATATTTTGCTTATGAAGAACCTTTGGGGGAATGGAGCAAATTTGCCCTGTTCCAAAGGCAGCTACATATCAACTCCCTAAATAAAATGAAACATTTAGCCACTAGGAGCAGAAATGGACTTTTGTTATTAAAAATCCAGTTTTTGTTGTTTTTTTAAGTTAACTCCATTTTTTTCATGTAACAGGAACCCACTTTAGCAAG